AAGCCCAGATCAGCCACAGGAGAAACACAGTGCACTGCCTCTCCTCAAAGGCTGCTTTCTTCTGAAATATAGCCACACCGTTGCTCATTGCTAAGTCTCAAGTGTCAGTCCTGGCCCCTGGGGACTGTGTGAGAGCTTCCTCACGGGTCAGCAAAATGGCAGGGATAGGCCAAGATCATCACTTTGCTCAATCAGACCTGGGAGTCCAGGCAAAAAAGAATCCAGGACCTGGAAAGAGATGAACAAACATTTCACCAGACCAGAGAAATGGTTTCTCTCAAGTCTGGTTTGGTGAGCCACTGGCTCAAACTGGAATTATTTGCAAGATCATGAATCAGGGATTACAGGGCTATGGGTGACTCAAAGGCAGCTGCATCACCCAAAAGCCCACCCTCATATGAGTAACGACTCATGAGAGCTGCTCCCTGGATACAGCATGCAGGCAGCCCCACCAGAGAGCCCCCTCTCCTCAGCAATTATTCCTTATAGCACTTTGGCAGAGGCCTCGGAAGTTGTGTATGTTTCGTGACTGTTCAGATACATAAAGCCTGTGGTGGACATTTCCCAGTCCGACCGTAACAGCTGGTTCTAGTCTTGTGCTAGTGGAGCTGTGCCTCCAGTGTTGGGCTTGAACCCCCCTTTCCGCACTGGCAAATCAGTGGGTAGGGAGGATCCCATGTACTGGTTAACTTGGTTCAGTGCTCTGACAAAAACAACTTCCAGAAGGAAGGGTTTGTTTCAGCTCACAGTTTGAGGGTATGGTCCATCATGGAGGGGAGGCATGGAGGCAGGAGTGTGAGGCGGGTGGTCACACCGCATCCCCAGTCAGGAAGCAGAAAGAGATGGAAGCTGTGCTCAGCTCATTTCCACTTTATACTTAGCCCATCAGATGACACTGCTCACACTGACAGTGATCTTCCCACTTCTATTAACCCAGTCTAGAAGCTCCATCACAGATATGCCCAGAGGTGTTCTCCCATGGTGATTCTAAACCTCAGAGGTGTTTTCATAGTGATTGAATTGTAACCATCACATCCCCTTCTATCATGGACCCCACATGACACAGTTCTGACACACCCTCTGACTGGGAACTCTGGACTCCAGATCTCCTATCCTTCTTACTGCACCTGTCCTGCTGTTCACAGTCTCACTACCTTCCTCCTTGGCTCAACTACTCACGGAGACCAGGGCTTTATTGTTCATGGCATTAAAGTCTGCAGACCTGAGGCCAAGGTACCAGTGTGACCAGGTTCTGGTAGAGGCCGCTTCTGGACCGCAGATGGCCAAGCTCCCACTGTGTCCTCACACAGTAGAAAGGGTCTCTTTAAAGAGGACACAAATCTATTCACAGGGGTTCCCCTAATGACCTACCAAAGGTCTCCTTGCCTCCTCCTTCCATAGTGTGGGGTGAGAGGGCAGGGTTTGAACAAACAGATGTTGAGGATAGAGACACAAACTGGAACCCTCAAAGCAACATGAGAGTGTTTTATATTACTCAAGCCCCACAAATCCAAACATACCACAGAACTCTGGGGCCCCTCCCAGGAGGATGAAGAAGCTTTGCAGCCCCCTCCCTGCTTAGATGTGTGCCGTTATTTGGCACTCTGGAGCAGAAAGGCAAGTGGGAATAGGGATCTCCCCCACTTATCCACTTAAGGAAAGCTGCATCAGACCTTCTTAGTGTGACCCCCCCTTCAAAGCCCTCAGACAGTCACTCGGTGTTTCTGGGGGTCTTCAGGACCACATCCCTGCTCTTGTGCCTCTCTTCTTGGAAGTGGAGCTGCTGAGAACCTAGGTAGGGGACACAAGGAAGCTTTCGGGAACAGGGACAAATGAAATTGCAAGCTGACGACTCATTGGGATCTTGCACTGTGGTCTCTCACTCTGCTCAACAGCAACCTGAAGACAGGCACTATGTTTTCATGCCATTACAGGAATCACAGGTTTGACAGCTCAGCATAACAACTGCCAAGATGATCTGGGGTGAGTCACCCAGCACCAGCCTATCTGAGGGTCTCAATGACGCTCAGAGTCAACATCTGCCTAGAGCTCTCCTGCTGCTGTAGGAGTCAGCAGGATGCTTCAGATGGAGTAGGTTCATGCCTTCTCATTCCAGATGTGGCCTTCTTGTGACCAAGGCTACCTGGGATGAACACTTTAACTGGAAATTGCTGAGTGGTGAGTTTCTGCATGTGCATGTGCAAACAAGCGTGCATGTGTGTGTGTGTGTATGTGTGTGCATGCTCTGTGTGCTTTTCTCTCTGTATATGCATGCATGTATATGTGTGCTCTGTGTGACTGTGTGTTCTCTCTGTATGCATGTATGCTAAGAGTACATGCATGTTCTATATGTGTGTGTCCTCTGAGTTTGCACTGTGTTTGTATGTGCATGGTTCTTATGAATGCGATTGTGTTTGTGTGTTATAGGTATGTTCTCTTTCTGTGTGTGTGTGTGTGAGAGAGAGAGAGAGAGAGAGAGAGAGAGAGAGAGAGAGAGAGAGAGAGAGAGAGAGAGAGGGTGGAGGTGGGGGTGGTAAGAGGCTTTGGAATATAACAGAAAGTGTTCAGGGACCAGAAGAAGGGTGGGCTTGGGCTAATATTCTTGGCTGGTCACTGGTTCTATGATCTATATAAGCCATGTATTTTGGTGGGGTTTTCTTGGTCTGTTCTATTGAATAAGGAGAGTGAGACTGCACGGAGTGGGCATCAAGGCTGAAAAGAGTCTGTTAGCCATGAGATCAGTAAACACGGAAAACTGAAGACTTTAGTCACTGCCCTCACTGCCATTCTGGTCCCACTTCACCTGTATCTTTTATTACCAGTGATAGATCTGGGGCTGGCCCTCCCAAGTCCAGCAAAACTGTTACAGCAATGGGACACCTTATCACACAGCTTCATGACTTGTACCTCAGCAATAATGACAACCAAGCAGGAGAAATGTCATTATTTGTCAAAGAACCTGGTGAACAGACTCACTGAAATTATGGAGTAATGGGTCTGTAGGTTGGAGTGTGCAAGTCCCTCCCTGCATCCCATTAAAGGGACACAAATGCACTGTATTACCAGCCCCAAAGCTGCCTGCTTTGTGCTTCAGTAAGTAATTAAGGCCTGGTCGCGTGTGCATTCTAATACTTGGGAAGCCTGGGGCAAGAGGATCACATTAGAACCCAGGGTGAGCTAAGACCTTCTCTCAAAAATGCACAGAGAAGGAGCAAAGGAAGGAAAGGAGGGAGGGAAGGATGGAGGAAGGGAAGCAGGAAGGAGGGAGGGAGAGAGGAAGGAATGAAGCTAGGAAGGAAAAGAGGAAGGAAGGAAAGAAGGAAAAGAAAAGGTCGAGTTTTCCCAGCTTCACCCAAACCTAAACTTCTGGGAAGAGTGTGCTCAGTCAAGTAAACACCTTCCATCTCAGCCTTGAGTGGGAATGGACCCCTCTGCAGAGAGGACATGCTAGTCTACCTGGGGATCACCCCTCTGCAGAGAGGCCATGCTAGCCTGCCTGGGAATCACCCCTCTGCTGAGCAGGCATGCTAACTTGCCTGGCGATTACCCCCCTGCAGAGCAGGCATGCTAGCCTGACTGGGGATCACCCCTCTGCAGAGAGGTCATGCTAGCCTACTTAGGAATCACACTATCTTGCATTCACATGGTGTCTAATGTGTGCTAAGATGCTAATTTGTTTTCTCCTTGCTTGAGTTGATGATCTAGGTCCCATTGTCACCTACATCTTACAGACAAGGGAAGAGAAGCCCGAGGATGCCAACGTTGAATGTCTGGAGCCCAAGGCTGTGCTTTAATCCACATACCCATGGCCTGAACCCTGACACACGCTTATGCTCAAATAAATTGCCTTGTAGCAGAAACTGAAAGACATACTCTACTACTTTCAGGTCAACCTCTGAGCCACAAAAGGCACAAAACAAAGTACCAGCATGGATGAGCAAAGCCTCTGCCCAGGGAAGATGGCTTGGCTCACAGCTCCTCTCCTGGCAGACCTCAACCCTCTTGGACAATTCACTAAGAGGTCTTTGAAACTACGGGGCCTAGGGATGTAGATAGGCAGTAGAGTGCTTGCCTAGTATGCACGTGGCTCTGTCTCTGGTTTTATACCCTACATAAAGAGGGTGCATGCCTGTAATCCCAGCACCAGCAAGGCGGTGGCAGGAAGATAATCAGAAATTGAAGGTTATCCTTAGCTATATAAGAATTTTGAGACCAGCCCAGGAATGCAATAGATCCAGTCTCAAAAAGAATAAAAAAAAAGACACCCAGTAAACCATTGTGCCCATATTGTTTTTGTCCTTAATGAAGAGTGGTGGAGTGGACTCAGTGTGTTCTGGGCTTTGAGCTCCATTCCCATTACCAGAAAATAACAACAACAAAATATTCCATTCCACCACTACTGCCCTGAGGAAACTAGTGGCTCCTCCAAATAGTCAAGGAAAAAAGTGAATAAATGTGTTCTACAGGTTCAGCAATGTACCTGTCTATGCAGAACTGTGGTGAGTGGGCTTGGCATATGCATCGTGCAGCTGAGTTTCTGATGCTCACAGAAGGGACATGGCAAAATGATCCCAGCACATCAAAGCACGTGGGCCGGGACTTGCCCATCACATCCCTTAGGCTAGCAGATTCACACTGCACAGCAGCAGATCACTTATTCATACTATGGCAATAGGAGATTACTGATTCATACTACAGTAATAGCAGATCACTGATTCACACTGCACTAGCAGCAAATCACTGATTTCCACTACAGCAACAGCAGATCATTGATTCATACTACAGCAATAGCAGATCACTGATTCCCACTACAGCAATAGCAGATCACTGATTCATACTACATAAGCAGTAGATCACTGATTAACCACACTAGCAGCAAATCCCAAATTTATACTGTGAACTGGGGAACAATGGGAGGATGTGAATAGTCCCAAACATCCCAGAGGTCAGGGAATAGGTACGTGGAGTATAGCAACTTAGCAGTGATGTTAGGTTCTTACTTATAGCTTCTCTCCCAGAATTTCACTGGCCTGACGTAGGATGTGATGAATATGACACTCCCAAGGAAAGGGCTCAGGGGTGTAGAGAAGATCGAGGTGGCGAATGTCTGGAAGAAAAGCATGGCCGAGTCTGAGAGGATGGGGTTAAGGCAGAATACATGCTGTCATTACCAGAGTTTTAAAATGCTATTTCCATGGTCATGGTGTCACATAGCAGTAATCCCGGGATTAGCCAGCTGGAACAGAAGCAAAAGATCATTCCAGCTACAGCAAGAATTCAAGGCTAACCTGGGCTACAATAAAGATCTCTACACTGACCTCTAGCTTCCACATGTATGTGCATATGCACACATACACACACACACACACACACACACACATAAAAAACTAGGAACTCCAGGGAAAGGAGGTGTAGGTAGAGGAAGGGAATGAGTGAAGAGACTGTCTATGGGACAATGAATGGAGTATTCAGCTGAACCGTGACTAGTAGCACCAATACAGACCCTGGAGTGCCTCCTAGAGCAGTGGTCACCCAAAGCCTTCTTCAGTCCCTTCCAATAGAAAGGGCCCAAAGGTTAGCCTACAAGGCAGATGACCGGTTAAAAGTATAATTAAAATGAAATCCTCAACACCAATAATTAAATATTTTATGAAAATCATTAAGCGCTTAAAGGGATGTGGCAAGTTGCCTTCCCACAATGCACATTTAGTGGCGATAATGCCTGTCTAATTATGAGAGACGATAGCCGGGCACGGTGTCTACACATGTTAAAAGGGTGTGTTTTTCTCTCCAGAGGCTGGAAGCCCAGAAGCCAATGGAGGTGGCAAGGGAGAAAACATGATAGAACTGGAGAAAGCAATTTATCCACCAGTGCCCTGCTTGCTGGAAAGCTAATTCAATTCCAAAATAGAGCAAATTACTCTGTACTCGATGTGGGATGGAGCACACATTTCTTAATAGGGTGATGAGATAATTAATGTTTGGCAAGTAGTTGGGATCCAGGCTGAGATTCAGGGGTCTGACATCTTGTTTTGAACTGTTATGTATACCTAGATTCTCCACCTTCATCTCATATGGTCTCTTGGTGTTTAGAGTTCCAACCATCATCGCTGAACAAGGGTGGAGAGGTCTGCGGACAAGGAGAAACTTTGGAGGCAGTGGCTAGCACAGGGGCAGTTGGAAGGCCGTGCCTTAGCAGAAGGGAATAATTGACGTCAAAGGACCAGTTTTAGGGAAGAGATGGAGGAATAATCTAAAACTGGTTGTCAAATATCCTATACAATATGCATCTTGAATATTTCCATTTCTTGCATGTGTGCGTGCGTGTGTGCATGCGTGTGCTTGCGTACGTATTCATGTGAAGGCCAGAGCTCAATTTTGAGTGTCTCTCCTCAAACACTGCCACTTTGTTTTTGGAGGTAGTGTCTCCCATTGACCTGGAGCTCACCGAGTAGGCTGCTAAGTCTACTGACTAGTGAGTTCCAGCAATCTGCCTGCCTCTGTCTCTCCATCACTGAGATTACAAGTACCCATCAACATATCCAGCCTTTGTGTACATGCGTTCTAGGAGTCTAACTCAGGTTCTCATGTTTGCAAGACAAACACTCTATTCTGAATTATTTCCTAAGCCCTAATGCCTCCTTGTCTTAAGAGGAGATGTCTACAAATAGAAGTGTTTGGCTTTAAGCCATGCTGCAGGCTGGCTTATTTGATTCTCTGGGAATTGATTGGCTGAGTAGTCAACACAGATTCTGGTATGATCCCGACAGGCAGCCAAACCACGAAGCCGACAAGAATAACTGGGGCCCATGCTTACCTATCAAGCACAGATATTGACAGGAAACTCCACCAGTCATGAAATGCTGGGGATCTGAGCTCCCCACTTTAAACTGTCACCATGGCTCCTCAACTATGCATTTGTATTTCATTGATAATTTTCATTTAAGAAACATACTTGAAATTCCAGATGAGAAATTTAGACATACTCCAGAAATAAGGAATCACCTCAGTCTTTCACCTTATTATCCTTGTATAAAGGACTTTGTTTAGGAAAACAAAACGGCTAGCAGTTGAAGGATAGTGCAAGCATTTTTTCCCTCTTAACTTCTTCTGCCAAACAACCTTGAAAGGTTCGGAAATATCAAAATAGGTCTAAGAACAGGAATACACCATGCTCTGCAAAAGTAATCATCAGTTTCACTCACCCAGCTATGACCCCTGCAGACGATGCCCATTGTTACAATAGTGGCACAAGTATTAGGGGATTAACCAACAACTTTTAGAAACTGCATTTAAGGCTCACTCTATGAGATTGAATTCATATCTCACACTATCAATGTGGCCAAGAACAGGAGACAAAATAGGCCATGGGTCCAATGGGAACACCTACAACTATTATTCCGCTAGATGAACACAGCAATATAGCTACTTCTAATGACACATTGCTTTACCCATAGGTCAGTGCAACTCTCAAACCCCATCAGAGAAGATTGTTCTTGCAGCAGAAGGTAATTAACATTAGACATACAAGTGGACAATGTGCGGAGAGAGACTTTAGAGTGCACAGCCCTGAGTGGAATGTCTGTTAGAACATCCTCTCAAGACTGTGGGAGAAGGGTCAGAAAGATTGTAAGAGCCAGAGGTGGTGAATGATTTAAAAATATTTTAACGAATTTTTTAAAACTGTAAAAATCTAGAGTACATTATTGCTCAGTGATTATCACAAGTATGTTTCTGTCCTGATCACCAGGCTGAGTAAGGAATCTCCTGTGAGGAATTCCAATTAACCTGAAATTTTCATGGGATCCAAGCTCCCAGTCTTATTTACAGTGGCAAACAGCACCCAGAATCATTTCCAGAGCGTAGTCTGTGGTACCTTCACCAGAGGGCACCAACATAACCACAGTTTCTGTGTCCATCTGTACTGGTTGGTTTCACCTGTCAACTTGACACAACCTTGATATAACCTGGGGAGAGCCTTATTGAGGAACTGTTTAGATCAGGTTGTCCTATGGGCATGTCTGACGTGGACTGTCTTGATTATCCACTGAGTTGGGAAGACCCACCCCGAATGTGGATGACACCATCTCATGGACTGGACTGTATGAAGAAAGCTGAGCTTAAGACAGCAAGCAAGCAAGGATGCATTCTTTCTCACTGCTCTTCACTGTGGGGGTGATGGACTCGCTGCTTGAGTTTCTGCCTTGACTTCTCAGTGACAATTCCACAATAACCTGGAATGTAAGTCAAATAAACCCTTCCCTCCCTAAGCTGCTTTTGGTCAGAGTGTTTGTCATGGCAACAGAAACAAAACTAGAATACTGTCTCAGGACTCAACCCTGAATCTGACCTTGAAGTTAAGCTGAGCCCAGGGATCTATTTATTCATCTTTCAGGTTCCTCCCAGGGTTCTGATGGCAGTGACCTTGCGCTTCGAGATCAAAAACACCGGTATAGAAAGTCTAAAACTGGTGGCACAGGAAACCCTGAGGGACAAATTTTTACGCTGACATCAGGAAACACTGCATTACTCCCTCTCTTCAAGCGTATTCTGGTACTTTCTTTGTTTTGCTGTAGTTTTGAGGCAGGGTCTGGCTATGTAGCCTGACTGGCTTGGATCTATGTAGGTCTGACCCACCTGGAACTTGAAGGCAATCCCCCTGCCTCTTCCTCCTGAATGCTAGGATTTCTGGTGTGTATCACCATGAATGGCTTTCTTCAATCAAATTCTCTATGTCTCTCCACAGTTGGGCATAAAATTTAGTTATCTGTGTCAATGTGATCATTAGAAATGGCATCTCCAACTTGTTTTGAACTGAATTAAATCGATTTAAAACTAATTATCATTATGGAAACATATTAAAAATGTACAGAAAACAGGTCTGCCTAGTGAGCACAAAATAAAACCATGATTAATTTTGTAGTCTCCAAAAGTACTTAGGGGTATTTCTACTTGCGTCTAATTCTAGATTTCTTAATATTGACAAAGTAGATATAATAACTATATTACATAACAATATAATAAATAAATCACTGACTTCATTAATTCTATCCATAAAGTTTAAGGGTAAATAGATGTATACAAGTTTGCTTAAGTCAACTCAATTATTTTAATCAGTTATTTTAATTTAAAAGGCCAACTCTCTGACTGCGTACCTGGAGTTGGGAGGCTCAGAAAAAAGTTGGACCAGCAAAATGGTTTGGCAGGTAGAGATACTTGTCCCCAGTTAGATGGTCTGAGTTCTGTTCCTGGGACCCACATTTCAGAAGGGGAGAACCAATTTCTACAAATTGTTCTCTGACCTTCATATTTGCACTAAGGCACATGTCTCCCACTAAATAAATGAAATGTTAAAAAAAAAAAAAGTAAAAATAACCCCTGAGAGAACATGCATTGAGGAGCAGGCAGAGTCCAGAATGACACAATGTCTTTTAAGGTTAAATGGCCTGAAGCGGGGACCCAGACTGCTTCTCCTACACCTATTAAAATGTAATCAGACAGATTTTACAGTGCTGTTACTGCCGGGTCAGTGGAAAGCTTGTCCCTGTAAGACGCAAACCTCTGCTTGGCAGGTGAGAGCAAGCAGAAAGGATACGAGGGATGGCGAAGAGCTGGGCAAACACGTGAAAGGAAGAACCCCAGGCCATCTGCCAAGGGGCCACATAGGCCAGGACAAACTGCAGTTTGTGAAGCAGGTCCCCAAGCTGAAAACAAAGAGAGACAGGTTAGAGAAGACAGCGCTGGCCCTGGTCACCACATCAAATCATTTAAGGGACATTGGATTTTTGGGGTAGAATCCATGAGATCGCTGCTTGCTTCTAAGTCACAGCATCATCTGTCCAGCCGCTGATGAGAAACAGTGTTTGATGTGGATGCTTCACGGAGGCCACAGGTCAGCCAGAAAGGCTCGTCAGGTTCATCTCAGCAGATCCACATACTGGCTCAGTGTCTGCCTTTCTTAGCGCAATAGTCACAGCTCGGTCTGCTGTCCTACACAGGGGTCCTTTTTAGTGGGAGGTTTATGCAAAACCCATCATTCTTGATGTTTCTCAGGTTTGGGTGTGTATGTGTGTGCTAGTATGTGCATACACACGTGCAGGTGCACAAGTGTGTGCATGCACAGGAAGAACAGACTTCAACTCTCATGTCTTTCCTCTGGTGCAGTTCCCTTTATTTACTTCTCTCTCTCTCTCTCTCTCTCTCTCTCTCTCTCTCTCTCTCTCTCTCTCTCTCTCTCTCTCTCTCGTGTGTGTGTGTGTGTGTGTGTGTGTGTGTGTGTGTGTGTACCTGTATGGGGAAGCCTCAGATGTTATTCCTCTATCTACCTGTCTATCACCTATCTGTCTATACATGTATATACAGTGGTGTACATGCATGTGTCCAGGTTGGTATGCATGTGGGGGTCAGCTGAGATTCAAAATCTGGACCTCATGCTTGAGTGTCAAATGCTTTACTCACTGAGCCAGCTTGATTTGGGGACAAGGTGTCTTACTGGCTTGGAGTCTGCCGATGCAGCTGGCCTGGCTAACCGGGAAGCCCCAGGAATCCACAGTCTCTATCTCCCCAGCACACCACGGCTGTCAGTCTTGTGTGAGAAGCACTTTATCAGCCGAGCCATCTCCCCAGCTTGTTACTCAGGGTTTTGTGTATTCATCTCATCCATGAAGCTGCCTGTGATTGGAGAAAATAGCTCCACCTCTCACACCACAAGTTAGAAAGGGTCTTAGAATGCTGAAGCTGGGCAGGGAAGTGGCTGCACCAGCCAGACAAGCCACCACAAGGACCACCTGATAGCCAAGAGGACATTGTTCTTCCAGGCCCTGTCAGCTCAAGGTCCCAGTTTTTAACTATTTAAAAATATTCTACATTGTTTTCTTGTGCATGTGTATGGGTGTGCATGATGTATGGAGGGGGCATTCATGCCATGCCGTATGTAGATGTGGAGGTCGTAGAGCAATTTTGTGGTATTTGTTCTCTCCTTTGCTTTTGTGTGGTTCCAAAGTTTGAACTTGGGGTCGTCAGGACTATATAGCAATGACCCTTACCCACTGAGCTCCCTCACCAGCCCGATATCCCATCTCTTAGAGTCACAGGAAGTCCAGTCTCCCTGCACTACATTGTCCCAGACACTGTGTGACAGTGACAAGACACTGCACATTCTAACCCAGTCTCTAACCCTTGGCTTCCTTCTGGGGATAGAGGACTCACTTTGAGTTGAGATTTCCTTTCCCTCCTACCACTAACCCAGCCAGACAATTAGGTTCCCTGCATCAGATGGAACACCCCTGGACTACAAACCCACCTGACACCCCACTGCTGCTAACTCTTGGTGTAACTATTAGGAATTCATCTTGTGGCTCGTGTCTAGGTGAACACTGAAAGCATGAACAAGGCTTGCTTAAGTGATACATACCCCTTCCCCCCCAAAGGCCTGGGTGATAAAAAGTTCCTCTGTTCTGTGTTCCCAGGGTGGCTGTGGCCTGGGAGGCTCTTCAGACACCTTCCCACGAAGTTAGGAAGTAGGTCAGGCCCAATCACGCAGTCAGACAGACTGCCCCAGGGAGGGCATATCTGCAAGCACAAAGCTCTCACAGGTCCAACACAGCGGCGTTGTGATTAAATGAATCTATTACAATTATTTTTTGCTTGGCACAGCAGTTTGTATTTACACAGAAGCAAAACCAGTAATCAGACATCTAAGGATTCCAAACCCAGCATTTTCTTGCTCTAATTGTGCCGGGATCCCAGCTATCTTCATTCTTCCCCTGTATCTCCCGATGTCTCCTTTCCCTCATGGATATTGTGAAGGGCGTGGTGCCAATGTAACACACACACAATGCTGAACAGGAGGCTTGGGAGTAAGCTCGGCTGCTTTCTGTCTCTGGAGAAGCCGGGCACATGGCCATCAGCTCTTTCTAGTTCTTTCACCACCTCTTAAGGACCCCCAAAAAAGAGATCGCATGTGCAGGACTTTGTACCTGGACTATGTGGACTTAAGGCTATGGGCGGGAGTGCACTGTATTTCAAGTCCCTGTGTCCTCAAACAAGAATGGTCAGGGACATGTGGATAGTGGGAGAAACAGAGACAGTTTATTAGGAAGCACATGAGCCAGTGGACGGGGGCCTTTGCAGGTAATCTCTAGGTGTGAGCTGTTCTCCACATGCTCTGTTCCACGTTGGCTTTGTGGGGAGAGGTTTCCAGTCTGGTTTATTTTCTATGTTGTGGGGTGAGTGTGTGTGTGTGTGTGTGTGTGTGTGTGTGTGTGTGTGTGTGTGAGAGAGAGAGAGAGAGAGAGAGAGAGAGAGAGAGAGAGAGAGAGAGATGAGGATAAGGAGGACAAAAGACAATCTTGAGTATCATTTCTCCAGGACTGTCTACTGTTTTGTTTTTCTGTTTGTTTTGAGACAGGGCCTGTCACTGTCACTGGCCTGGCTCTCAACTATGCTGCCTGGCCACTGAGTCTCTGGGATTACAAGCATGGGCATCCTGACACTCAATGTTGTCCTGGGGATCCAGCTTAGAACCCAATGCTTGGACAGCAAGAGCTTTAACAATAGAACCATCTCCCCGGTCCCGTCATTCCCCACCCTCATCTCCTGCCACAGGAGTGCATCCTGCCCAGACTCCAGCCTGACCCTATCCTTCTGCATTTATAAAACAGGGCCTCAGTGTCTATTGGAAACAACAGGCCCTGTCTCCCCCCAAATTACCCACATGACTTCCCCCACAGGCCACTGTCAGGTATGCACAGGCCACCAGTAGTTTCTGCTCTCTTGTCCCTTTCCTGTCCTGCTCCTCCCTTCTGCCACCCTAGTTCAAGTCCCTACCATGAACCACATAGTTTACATCCAAAAAGAGACAATGAGGTATGGCTGTAATCTCAGGACTCCCGAGGACCAGGTTCAAAGATACCAAGCTCAAAGACAACCTGAGCTATGTAAGAGGACATGCACACAGGTACACACAAAACCACCACCACACATACATCTCTAGAGAGTCACAGACATGTGATTCAAACTCTTCAGAGTCCTGCTCATATGTCTCTTCTGTTTTTACTTCTAGATGCTTATAACTTTCTAGAACCTTCCCTTCCCAAGTCTTTGTTCCTCCCAGCCCCCATGAAGCCCTCTACACTGACCTTTCTCCTTCCTTCCTTCCTTCCTTCCTTCCTTCCTTCCTTCCTTCGTTCTTTCCTTCCTTCCTTTCTTTTTTTTTATTTTTTGAGATTGAGCTTTTCTGTGTAGCTTTGTAGACCAGGCTGGCCTCGAACTCACAGAGGTCCATCTGCCTCTGCCTGCTGAATGCTGAGATTAAAGGTATGCTCACCGCTGCCTGGCTATTTCTGGTCTTTCAGAGCTTCTGTGAACCTCACATGGCTGACACCCTTCCTCCTACTTAAAGCTCCAGGTCAGCACTCCACTTCCCACTCATGAAGGCTGATGGGTGCCACTTCCGTGTGTTTTCTGGAAACTTCTGTGCAATGACCTCCTTACTCACAAGTGTCCTGTCCTAGGCTTACCTGGTGTTTGTTACCACAGAATACCAGCTTAGCTTGATAGCCTGCCCTTGAACCTAGTTCTCTCATGTACAGTTATAAGGCCATCCAATGACTCATTTATTCTCATGCCTCAGTTTCCCCATCTATAAACTGAAGGGCATGTGCCTGCAAAACTGTGAAGATGAGTCACGTGTTCATTCAGAGTCCCAGGGCTGTGCTGTCTACTATTGGCAATTGATGGCCCCAGGACAGTGCTGGCAATCGCAGCAATTTCACTGATGTGTGTGGTGTATGTGCACATGTGTACACATGTGTGGAGGCCCGAGGTCAATGTCATGTGTTTTCTTCAGATGCTCAACATCTTATTTCTTGAGCCAGGCTCTCTCACTGAACCTAGTGCTTGCTAACTTGGAGGCTGTCTGTTCAGGGAGCCCTAGGCCCCTCCTCTCTCCACCTGACCAGAGCTGCAATTACAAGAGTGTGCCATCCTACCTGGGCTTGCATGTAAGTTCTGGGGCCCCGACCTCAGGTCCTCATGCTTGTGTGGCAAGTGCTTTACTAATTGAGCCATCTTCCCAGCCCAATAACTGCTTTTGGAACAAAGATTTTTTTGAATAATTTATTTTGTAAAAGCCCAAACTCTTAAAATGTAGTTTATTTTAAATATAAGATTATCTTCTCATACACATGAAGTACAAGGAAATGCCATTTAGAGACTGCTGCAGGGACCTTGACTATGAACTATGGTCCTCCATAACAAGGCTACTCATTGTGGCTTGGTAGCAGTTATTTGAACAATATGACCATGAAACAGCCTCACCATTAATTTTAATTTCCTTAGTGGCAAAAACACCTATGTTGAACTAATGGTCTGCAGAATTTCATGTTCAGCATGTTATGGGATGGCAGGATTTTCTAAGGTCATACGACCACATCCTTTTGCAAAATTTATTCAAGACAAAATGGTTTTTATGGACATCCCAGGGCCAATGGGATGGTATGCAAGGATCTTTGACATCTTTGGTCTGTGTGGTCCTCCCCACACCTTACTGTGTCACCAAATTGGGATGGACCAGAAAGTTCCCAGGTTATTGCAAGACCTTTCTTGGGCCTCCAACCCTTAATGTAGTCAAGGATTACCTTAAATTTTTCATTATCTGCCTCCAACTAGGATTGCAGCCATGGGCACCATGCTTGATTTAAGC